TATTTGAAGAAATAATGACAAAAACTTCCCTAACCTGGTGAAGGAAAGATATACAAGCTCAGAAAGCACAGAGAGTCCTCAACAAGATGAACTCAAAGAGGCCAACATCAAGATACATAATCATTAAAATGCCAAAGGTTAAAGACAAAGTGAAAATCTTAAAAGCAGCAAGGGAAAGGCAACTAATAACTTGTAAGGAAGCTCCCATAAGCTGTCAGCTGCTTTTTAAGCAGAAACTTTGTAGGCCAGAAGGGATTGGTTGACATGGAATATTCAAAGTGATGAAAAGCAAGGACCTACAACCAATATTACCCTATCCAGCAAAGCTATTATTTAGAATTGAAAAACAGATAAAGAGCTTCCCAGAGAAAATAAAGCTAAATGAGTTAATTACCGCCAAACCAGTGTTATAAGGAATCTTAGAGGGACTTCTTTAAGATGAAAAAATAAGAAATAGAAAATGTGAATAATAAAAGGGCAATAACTACATACCTATCAACAATGCTCCATCAAAAGATAGGGTGGCTGAATGGATAAAAAAAATAAAGATCCTTACATATGCTGCCTATAAGAGACACTTCAGATTGAAAAACACATGCAGATTTAAAGTAAAAAGATGGAAAAATATATTTCATAAAAATGGAAACAAACAAACAAACAAAAAACCAAAAAGCTGGAGTAGCAATACTTACACCAGACAAAATAGACTTTAAAACGATGACTATATATAACAAGAGAAAAAGAAGGACCCAGTAATCCCACTTCTGGGTATTTACTCAAAGAAATCCAAAACACCTCTTCTAAGGAATGTGTGCATCTACATGTTTAATGTGCTCTTGTTTGCAATACCCAAGATGTGGAGGCAGCCTCAACATGGGTCGATGGATGAATATATAAAGAGTAGGCAGCACATATGTACAATGGAATATTGCTTGACCATGGAAGGTAATGGGTTCTTGCCATCTGTGGCAGCCTGGACGGACCTGGATGGTACTGTGCTGAGTGGAGTATGTCAGACAGAAAAAGACAGATGCAATTTTTTTTTGCTTATACTGGAATCTAAAGAACAGAACAAACAAACAAAACTCATAAACAGAACATTTTGATAGTCACCAGATGGGAGAGGAGCTGGGGTGGGGAGTGAAAGGGAAGGGATTAAAAAGTACAAATTGGTTGTTACAAAGTAGCAATGGGGATATAGCATATAGCATAAGGAATATAGTCAATAATATTGCAATAACTATAGTGTCAGAT